ATATTATTTATTGGCCCAGAGAGGAGGATTTTTTTTTCTTCTTTTTTACATTAAAGTACAATTCATACTGAAGACTATAGTCTTTGATCTTCATCAGTAAGTGTTTGAAGTCCTCTTTACTTCCAGCAAGCAAGGTTGTATCATCTGCATATCACACAGGTTGTTAATGAACCTTCCTCCAATCCTGATGCCATGTTCTTCTTCATATAATCCAACTTCTTGGATTTATTGGTCAGCATACAGATTGAATAAGTATTGTGAAATGATATAACCCTGGTGCATACCTTTACCGATTTTGAACCATTCAGCATCCCCTTGTTCTGTTTAGATAACTGCCTATTGATCAATATAGTAATTTCTTATGAGCACCAGTAAGTGTTCTGGAATACCAAGTATTTCAAAGTTTGTCATGATCTACACAGTTGAAAGCCTTTGCAGAGTCCATAAAGTACAAGTAAAATATCTTTCTGGTATCCTCTGCTTTCAGCCAAGATTCATCTAATGTCAGTAATGATACCCCTCATTCCTCATGCTCTTCCAAATCCAGCCTGAATTTCTGGCAGCTCCCTGTTGATGTACTGCTGCATTCATTGTTTAGTTATATTAAGCAAAATGTGGCTTGCTTGTGATATTGATGATACTCTTTAATGATGACTTCTGCATCCCGTGGAGTCACTTTTCTTTGGAATGGGCACAGATATGATTCTCTTCCAATTAGTTGGCCAGGTATTTGTCTTCCAAATGTCTTCACATGGACAAGTGAGAGCCTTCAGCACTGTATCAGTTGTTGAACAATGAATTCAATTTGTTTTCCATCACTTCCTGTTGCTGTTGTTAGGTGCCATTGAGTTGGTACTGATTCATAATGACCTTAAGCACAGCAGAACGAAACACTGCCCGATCCTGGGACAACCTCACTACTGTTTCCACGCTTGAGTCCATCGATGCTGCCACTTGGCCAATCCATTTCGTTGGGGGTCTTCCTCTTTTTCTCTGATCCTCCACCTTACCAAACATGATATCCTTCTCCAGCGACTGGTCCCTCCTGACAATATGTCCGAAGTGTGAGAGATGAAGTTTGGCCTTCTTGCTCTCCAAGGAGCACTCTGGCTGCACTTCTTCCAAAATGGATCTATTGGTTCTTTTGGCAGCCCATGGCACTTTCAATATTCTCCTTCAACACCATAACTCAAAAGCATCAATTCTTCTACGGTCTTCCTTATTCAATGCACAGCTAGAAAGAAGGAGTGACGAACTACTTCCGAATATTTAGTCACTGAAAACCTTACGAATCACTTCCTGGAGCCTTGTTTTTCTCCAATGCCTTCAGGGCAGCTTAGAATTCTTCCTTCAATACCATCCATCCTTGATCATACAGTCCTTCTTGAAATGTCTGAATATGTATCAGTTCTTCTTGGCACAGTGGAAATGTGTATCCCTTCCATCTTCTTTTGATGATTCCTACATTACTTAATATTTTGCCTACAGAATCCTTTAATATCGTAACCTGAGGCTTGAATTTTTTCCTTCACTTCTTTCATTTTGAGAAATGCTGAATATGTTCTTCTCTTTGGGTTTTATAAAATTTTCTCATCAGCTTATTTACTTCCTCATTTCATCCATTCACTAGCTTCTCCACACTCAAGAGTAAGTTTCAGAATCTCTTCTGATATCCATTTTGCTTTTTTTCTTTCTCTCTTTCTTTTTAATTGATTGAGCATTCCATTTTCTCCACATTCTTGTCAACACTTATTTTCTATTGTTTTTGTTGCACCATTGAGCCAATTCTGAATCCTGATGTTCCCATGTGACAGAGTAGAAACACCCCGTAATGTTTTCTAGGCCAGAATCTTCACAGAAGTAGATTGCTAGCTCTTTCTACCATGTTGCTGATGGCTGCATCTGATCCACCAACCTTTTAGTTTATAGCTGAGGGCGTAGCCATTGGCCTCCAGGGTCTATATTCTCTATTAGTGTGGGTGTTTTTTATCCAGCAGTTATGGACTTTCTGCCTCCTCTCCAGGACTGTCTTAGACCATGGCCTTATGAGTGGGCAGGCCAAAGAGGACTGTTTGCCCATGAAGCTGAGGTTTTCCCAAGGTTGCCCTTGCCTTACTGTTTGCTCTTCATGACCACCTTGACCTGCTGGACTCCTCGCTGCCTTGAACTCCATGTCTGACTTCCCTAAGGCTTTCCCTTTGTAGAAGGACAGCTTTCTCTGCTTATCACCCATGCTCCTCTGCTTTGCCCCTCACTGCCCTGCACCTGGTCTGCCCTGCACCATGCCATGTGTGCACAAGTATAAAAGGTGAGACATTTGTACTGAACTGCATACCTGGTGAACTGTGGAGCTGAGCTTTAAACCTCAGCCTCACCTGCCTCAAAGCCTGAACAAGTGTCCTGTTGCTTCCTTCCTATTGAATTTTGGTTCACGCCGTCTTCACCTCCTCTCCATGTTTTGCTAGTTCATTGCCTCTGTGTCTAATAGGTTTCCGGCTATTGCTTCTAGAACGTGCAGCACTTGGTCTTCACTAGGAGACTGCAACAGTGTTGCTAACAGGGTGGGATGTTGGAGGTACCAAGTGCAGTGTCAGAGGGGTGACAACAAAATGACCATGTCCCCAGGGTTGGTGTCACTCCTCACTCAATTCAGTAAGTCATCATCACCAACCAGGATACCTGCCGTGAGTGGAGAGGAGAGTCCCCACTTGGGCCACTGGAAGAGGGTCAGATCTCCATCTTGGCCAATGGGATATGGGAAGATCTCTGTCTTGACCAATAGGAGAGGAGAGAAGCTACACAGAGCCACAGGGGTGATCCGAGAGATGCAGTGAGTTCTGCCCATGGGGAGGGGGTGACACTATGAGTAACCACCTGGGTAACAGCAGCTGTAGTGACAGCACTGGGAGGTTCTGAGATAATTCAAGTCACTGTGTTAAAATGTTCATCACAGCACTAGTACACAAAAAGATGCAGTCATGTTTAACTTCTATATCGAATTGTTTTTGTGTGGCCTGTATGATATTGTGGTTGTTACGTGCTATTGAATTAGTTCTGACTCACAGTGACCCTGTATAAGGTTTTCAGGAAGCAGCTGGTGGGTTTGAACTGCTGACTTTGTGGTTCGCTCTCCTGTACTGATCCGACAGTGCCACACCAGGAGTCCATGGCCTATATAGTCCCACTCAACATAAACATTAATTTGCAATCATTTTGGCCAAATGTCCTTTCTCAGTTCTTGCTAAGAGACTCTTTTTTCTGGTGTTTCACTTTTCAAACCCATAGTACTTACCTTCATGCCACTGATTCAGAACCTAATTGTAACTGTTTTGTGTTATTTATGCAACTATTCCTTTGGTTTTATACGTTAACATGATGACAATATCCCAATGGTAAAACAACGAATGAATGAAAACAGCTGCTTGGTATATATAATTAACAAAGGTTTAGAATACATTGTATGAATCATTTAGAATTCTTTTTCTTAGGAGGGGAGGTAATATATATATATATATAGTTGTTGTTGTTGTTGTTAAGTGCCATCGAGTCGGGTCCGACCCATAGCGACCCTGTACAGGGTTTCCGAGGGTTTAA